AATTAAAAGGAAAAAAAAAATATGGAAGAAAGGGGTGTGGAGGAGGACGGAGGGCTCCGCTGCGCCGCGGCTGCTCAAGGAATGCCTGGAGAGGATGGGGACGGCCAGCAGGGACCCCACGGCTGCGTGTCTGCACGATGGGAGGGGATGAAGACCCCCCCAGAGCCCCCACTTTGAGAGCCTGGGAGGGGTGGATTCGCTCCTGCCCACCGCCAGGGACGTTTCAGGGACATCCTCTGGGGAGGGCGCCCACCTGGCAGCAGGGCCTCCATCCCCACCCTCAGATGCATCCAGGTCCCCTCTCTGCCCAAAAGGGACACGCGGGGCCTTTGTGGGGCCTACGGGTAGGAGCTGCAGGTGGGGACAAGACAGGGGGTGGTGATGCGGGGGTCCGGGAGACCCCTCCCCTCTTTATCCAGCAGCCACAGCAGTGACAGACCCCGTTTCCTCTCCCGACGCCCCCCCCCAGGCACGTGGGGCACACGGGTGCAGCACCCACCGAAGCCAAACCATCCGTCCATCACCACCCAACCTGCCCAACGCCCAACGTGACCTCGTGAGTGAATCTCCCAACGCCAGAGGGGGCAAAGCGCCCCAAAGCCCACTTATAGGGGGCACCGATACCCCAACGCCAATCCCATGGGAAGCCCAATGCCCTCAACGTCAACCCTACAGGACTCAATGTCCTCAGCGCCCACCCTACAGGACCCCAACATACCCGACGCCCATCCTACAGGGCCCCAGCGTCCCCAACACCCGTCCTACAGAACCTCAACATCACCAGCACCCACCCTGCAGGACTGCAACATCCTCACTGCCTACCCTACAGGACCCCAAAGTCTCCAGCGTTCATCCAATGTCCCCAGCACCCACCCTACAGGACCTCAACGTCCCCAACATTCATCTTACAGGGCCCCAGTGTCCCCAACACCCCCAACGTTCATGCTATATGGCCCCAACATTCCCAACACCCACCCTACAGGACCCCAACATCCCCAGTGCCCACCCTACAGGATCCCAACGTTCATCCTATAGGCCCTCAATATCCCCAATGCCCACCCTACAGGAACCCAACATACCCAACGTTCATCCTAGAGGACCCCAACATCTCCAGTGCCCACCCTACAGGACCC